ATTATGTTCCAAAAATGCCCAAAGACTTGTTTCAAAAGTGAGGTCATGGAAGCAGTTGTTGACAATCTGAATCTGCCTCAACTTACTGTATTCAGATTATCTGTAGCTGAAAAAAATCAGATCAACTATCCATAGGGTTTGTTATAGACATTATTTACCATTTAAATTAATGTTTACAGTTATACATGTTATACAGGTAAAATGATAAAAACTATTAAAGGTGTTGAACGGCATAGCTAAAATTGTTATTCCTATGAAAAACTTCAGAACATATGTAAAGTAGCACACTCTTATTTTGCACATATTTGCCATATATTAACACTATTAATATTTTGCTAACAATATTGATAAAAATACTAACATTTAATAAATTATAAAAGTAGGATACATAGTAATATATTAGTTCTGCGTAGAAGACAAATTAAGGATGTTTTAGCATCAAATATCTCCTCAGATTTCAGTGAAGTCATAATATGTTGATACCAGATATTTTAAGGTATCTATATGGTCAAGCTTTTATAACAATGAAGTAGATACTCCTAAGTCTCTTCTCAGTGTTGAAATAATGCTATCAAAATATTGCTGAAGAAGGCATGCAAGTATCTGTTACGGGGTAAGTGACCTTACAAAATATAAAAATTAATATGAAAAATGAATGAGTTTAGCGAACAAAAAGGCATATTTCAGAGTTTCGTTGAAAAGAGAAAAAGTAAAAGAGATTGTGAGAATAATGAGAAACTGCTGGCAGTTTTGTATATTCAGAATGCTTACTGCATTTAATCAGTAAAGGTTATTAAGCTTTCATCTTGCTTTTTGTTCCTGTGCATGTATCATAACATTTTTATAATAATTTTAATAGTCTGCATATTTCTAAAGCAACAAAACTAATTGAGCAGCAGTGACTACCCTTTGCTATTTAATGAACTGAATATATTAGACACTAGCTAGGCCCAAGAGTCACAAGACACAAACCCTGAAGAATCAAGAGGATGGTGAGCCCTGGGAGCAGCTTTGGGATAAGAGGTCTAGACCCTCAGAGATCCCTGAAGGACATCCTAGGGTCCCTCCTGGCGACCTGCTGCTCTTCAAGTGATCTGTCAATATTGCCCTCAGCATCCTTTCCTGAATAGTTTCCTCCCACAGCTGAGTATTAGGAACCATCATGACCCTGAAGCTCATGATGACAGATCACCAAGAAGGGATGTGAAAGTATAGCTTCAGCTTGGCTTCTGAGCTGCAAGCAACTCATGAGCCATGGGTTGGCCTCCCAGTAACACGGGAGTAGGTGTTCCACTGCTGTAACTCACTGTGGCTGTCAGTGGCACATTGGCATCTTTCACCCAATATGTCAGTTTGCATTTTCAAATCTACAATTACAGTGGTAGAATTTAGGGCAGAAGTTACCTCTTTTAACTCAATTCACCTCTGAGTTAGTGATGTACTGTAATGTAGGTGGGTTAAGCTCCCCCAGTGTCACTGCAAGACAGTAGAAAGTGATAAATCCCATTCTATGATAAGTATCTGGGACTTTGTGGCACCTTTGTGGGTACTTCCACCTCTCCAGAGAAAGCCTAGAAAAATAACTTGGGCCAAGTGCTTAACTTAGAGATGTATAAAGTCAGGCTAGATTAATATCATGAACTATGTCTTTTAAAAACAAAGTTCTGTCAAGGTTTTCCTGCTAATACCGTTGTTGCTAATAAACAGCAAAGCAGATTTATCAAGCTACCTACTTTGCATTTGTGTCAATGCTCCTGGCAAAATGAAATTAGTTCTGTTCAGCTGTGTCTTTGGCACTGCACATCTTTGGCAGGGGGCTCCTAACAACACATGGGGATTCTTTTAGCTTCAGGGAGAGGAGTCTTTGTTTTTTAGGACAGAAAACTCGAGCTCATTTCAGGAAGCATTGTGAGGTTTTGAAGTGGCCACGGTGTGCAATATAATTAGTTACTTTGAGGTGACAGATTTGTTATAATTCGTAAAACTGGTTCCAACTGTGACAATGCAGTAAACAGTACTACCCAAAGAAGTGTCTACATGTGCACTGAAATATTTAAAAGATCAAGCCTTTGATCCTAATTTTACAAAACTCCCCTTTCCTCCTTCCAGCTGGAACTACTTCCCACCATGCCTCCCAGCTCTGACAGTATCCAGCAGGACACGCTCCTCTCTCACATGTGGCATTCTCAAGAAGTGCTATTAAATAGAAATTGCTTACAAAGAAAGTGTTACTATTTATAGAAAACTAGGAACTACCTAAAAAATTCTACAGATGTAATTGTATCTATTTTATCATCTTGTCCTGATAGATAAAAATAGGAATGACAATATCTAGGGTGTCCTTCCCATTAGTCAAACTATGGTGATGACTAACGCAGCCAAATCAATGTCAGTAAAGCCTACCTACCACATCATGATTCAGAAACTCTCTTGGCCCTCTTTTTAAGAGAGAAGCCACAAAAGTATAAAGGTTTAATCTGCATGTATTTGAAATTACTATATTATTTGTGAGGCAAAGATTCAAATAAGGTGTATTAGTTGCTCCAAACATGTCTCAGTAAAAACTATCTCTGCCTATATTCTTCAGATTGTACCGTCTTAGAAAAAAAAATACAAACAAACCCAAAATCAAACCCCCCAAGTATTATAAAAAATTTGGTGAATGTTACACTTTCAATCTGAGAAATCAGGTTGGTTTAGTACCAAAGGCCCAAATATATTAGTCAAAGACAAAAAAAAAAAAAAAAAAAAAGAAACTCTAAGGTACCAGGAGCCTTTGGCAAAGGATCTGAAGAAACTCTTCTGGAAATCATAATGTATAAAGGTCATTAGATCACATGGGTTTAACATCTTACTGCCTGCTGTTAGCCTCAGAAGAAACTTGTGTCTTGCATGACTGTCCTTCTGAAAGCTTGAGTGATCAGCCTTCAATACGGTGCAATGCTGTCATGACTCTGTTTCCCACTCCTGCATCTCAGGCCAGTCTAGTTCCGGAACAAAACTCTTTTTCCAGCATGCAGAAAAAGTATTTTTGGGCTGGATTATTGGTGATGTCTTAGGTTCTTTATTACAGTAGCTGTTTGAAACTTTATGAGGTCTTAAGCTGGAGAGCAAGTGCCAGAGCTGATGTACCAACAAACTGTTACAAATTAGATGAAGTGGTGAAGACCTTTTACTATATAAATGTACAGAGCCACACGAAGGAATCTTTTCTCTAATTTTGTGGCTCTTTATTACTGATGTTAATACTATGCACCGACAAAGATGGAGAGGCTGGTACATAAAGTTGTATTTTAAGGAAAGGTACAGTTGCAAAAAAAACCCTAGTGATTTCCCTTAAAATAAGGGGCACTGAAATAGTAGTGCAGTGACAATCTTGTGACACTAACCTTCAATCTCTTGCCCAAAGCAAATAAGGAGCTTCACTTGCTTTTTTAAACATGGACATGGAAAACCATATATTCCTGATTAAGAAGGGAAAAAAAATTACTAAGTAATCCCAGGGCTCCAAGGAGCTATTCACAAACTTAATGTTAAGATGTAATCTGGTGATTACGTAATAATTTCCCCTCTCTGCCCATTCCAGAGTGGATATGAGATACTACAGTCTACGTGCCTGGTCTTGAATGTTTAGTTCCAGGTGTGAGAGCTCATTGCAATATAACATTCCAGAGAAAACAGAAGTCATATCGAGAAAGGACTAATGTACATATTCTGGGAGAGACAGGTCCTAATTCAAAGGATAGGTAACAGAAGGTGTTGTGTTACCCCACTCAGGGTTAGGCTCTAGGATCTGTGTGGGAGTTGGCAGACACAATTAACAAGCCTGAAATAACAATTGCCTTGAGAGCCAGCAAGAAGGAAAAAGCAGGGGAGGGGCCCCCCAAGTAGGAAAAGTAAAATAACTGCAACAATAGAAGGATAAATCCAATCTCACCTAAAACCACCGATAACCCATCTGAGACCTGGACATGAAATCGACACACTAATATTGAGGAACACAGGCCACAGGAGACACTCTAAACAACGAGTTTGGAAAGCTTCATGGAAGAAAATCGGTGATAGGCTTTTCTGTGGAATACGTGCCAGCTCCTGCTGCACACAGTGGTCAGAAGAGGACTCCATAAAGAGTGAACATTTATGTCTATCAAGATGTGGAGGAAAAAAAGAAATGTCCAAGCACGCTGTTATTCTGTCCAGTGCAAGACCTTTGAAGCACTGACATGGTGGCCTACTGCCTTTCCAAATCCTGCCTACACATAACTTCCTAATAGACCTAAAAATGACTGATATATCACAGTATAGACAGACAGATTTTACAAACTGATATCTAGGATAGTCGCAGACAGATAAAGCGTGCATGCAAAGCAAGTCTGACACGTCAGATTCACAGCATATGCAATATTGTCGTGCTGTATATGCTCAGAGAAGTTGCACAGTAAGTACCAGTCTGGCATCACACTTCTTGCACATGTATGTTTTATCTGCCCATACAGGGAAGTTTGAGTTCTCCCGGTGTATGGTGTCCTGCACATCCAGAAAGACACCTATGGCAACAGAAATACAGGCAAAACCATGCAAAACCTGTATGCTCTTCTATGAGAAACTGCATTGTCCACATAATGACATGTATTAAACAGGACGTTCTGTACCACACGGGATTCTCAGCACTTTTGGACATTTATCTCTGTGACCACACCATGCTGTGATTGCCCAGGAGAGTGCAAAGGTCGACATTAGTGTATGTACATGAATTTGGTGGACAGAAGACACAGTGTGATTACCTAATATTTAATTAGGTTGCAACAATAGCACTACTGCCCTTATCCTTGCCATGTGAGCTCATCTACAAGGCAACATGATGATACTACTGAAGCTTTGGGACGTAGTATCAGTAACCCCTGAGACATGATAATACTGTTCCCCCCATACCACGAGGATTCTTCTAGGAATTGTGTTTATAATCACACCAAAATTAAAGTTGCAGGTCACTGATTTACCTTCTGCTCCAAACAGGGCTATCTTCAAAGCTAAACTAGGTTGCTTATCCAGCCTGGTTTTATCTTCATGGATGGAAAGTCCACAGCCATTCTGGGAAAGTGTTCCACTACTTGACCACTCTCACTTCGAACTTTTGTTTTCTTATACACAACTGAAATATCTCTGGGTGCAACTTCTCGCTTTTGTCTGTCGTCCTGTTGGTGCTCATCTCAGAGAGAAGCCTTGTGCCGTCTTCCCTATAATTCCCCCTGGGAAGGTGAACACTGTAATTAGATCCTGGTGTAGCCAAACCCACTTCCTCACACAGGACGTGCTCCAGGCCCAACCACCTTAGCAGCCTCCACTGACCTGGCTGCTGCTGGAAGAGCCCAAGCTGGACAGTGGGTATCCAATGTGGCCTCACAGTGCTGCACACAGGGCACATACCTGCTGGATATATCCATAATGCAGCCCTCTAGGTGTGATGGCCAGGCCCCTTTCTGCTGGGCTACTCCCAAGTCAGTTGGTTCTCAGTCTGTAATGTTCTACAAGGATAATCTGTCCCACATTCAGGACTTTGGACTTGGCTGTGTTGACCAACACAAGGCTCTCACTGGCCCACTCCTGCAGCTTGCCAAGGCTACTCTGAATGGCATCTGTGGCCTCCAGTACATCAACTGATCCCCCCAGCTTGCCATGGAGATGAGCTGAAAACTTGCTGAGGGTGCGTTCTGTCCCACCCACTGAGTGGTGAATATATCAAACAGGATTTGCTCCAGTATTGATCCCTAACCCGTCCCAACTGGGCATCAGTCAGACTTCAAACCAATGAGACACTACCCTTCAAGCCTGGTGGTACAGCCAGTTTTTCACATACATAGTCTGCCCACCCCATCCACATGTCCCCACTCACAAAGTTATTGAGGAAGCCTACCAAAAGCCTTAATAAAGACAAGCTTAAATGGCACACTCTGCTTTCCCCTTGATCACTAAGCCCAAAATCAGTGACATAGAGCCAGACACAATTGAACTTAAAGGTGTAACATTTTCCTTTTCTTCATTCATCTACAGTCTTCTAAACACCATGGCCTTTCAAATGACACAGTGGGTGAGCACACAGTAACATTGGCCAGCTCCCTCAACACTCATATGCAGGCCATCTGGTCCAGTGGACTTGCATATGCCCAGCTTGATAGAGTGGACTTTCTGTGAGTAGTCTCCTTCTCACCCTAAACCCTGAATAAGCCACAGAAGCTTGGGAGATGTAGAAAGCCCAAGCCCAGTAAAACCCAAGGTGGAGTCCTTCAGCCTTTTCCTTGACCTTTATGGGCAGTTCAATGACCCAATTCTGCAGCAGGCCCATATTTTCCCTTCTCTTCCTTTTGCTGCTGATTCACCTGTTGCAATTCCAGCCAACTTTTGTCTTTTCATATTCTACTCCTCTACTTAAGTATCGACCATCCTCTGCATGAAGTGATGGAATCTCAGACCAGTATAATTTGCTTATTATCTGTTGAATGCTTTCTAGAAATTCTTTTTAAGGAAGGTGGTTGTCTTTCATCCATATCTCATCTTTTGGAAGTTGCAAGCATATCCAGGTGCTTGTTCAAACATTTAATTAGCTGGTACTGCGGAAAATGCCATTGTTCTAAATTATTCTTTCTTCCTTTGTTCTTTGTTGTTAGTTGGTTTGTTTCCAGTAACCTCAAATTTGGTCCAGAAGCATAGGAAAAGGAAAAGTATACACACATCCACACCTGATAGGAGGGAATCAAATGATTAATTACCTTCATCATGCAGCTTTGACTGCTAAACCATCTCTCCAGGAGTTTCTCTAATATTTTGTAATATTTAAGCTCTGCTGAAGCAACCTCACGTGGTTATTATCAAATAACCCAAGCCCTTAATGAGAGTTCCTTCTTATTATTCAGAATCTGGACTTTCTGACCCATCCTCCTCTAAAGCAAAATGGAGAGGAAAAAAAAAAAGAGAGAGAGAAATTAGCCAAAGTTTTATTAGCTATAGTCAGGTCATAAATGATAAATTGAAGGGGTTTTTTTTCTTTTTTAACATTCCAAACCTGGAAAATGGAAGTGTTTCTTGCTGTTCAAGCATTTGTATTTAGTCTAGAATGTTCCAAGACACTTTTCTTACACTTAAAGATATCACTTGTTCAACATATTCTACATTGGTCACTTCACTGGTTGGTTTTGATAGGGAGTGATGGATCTCTTCAGTTTTCTAAACTGCCAAAATAATTAAGAAGTGTTTCTGCAACACTTTTCAATTAAAGATGTGGCTGTCTATAATAGGAAGTTCTTTGAATTACAATAATGTCAGAATTGTACACATTCTGAATAGTTATGTATTATGCCTCTACTTCAGTAACTTGGCTGATATTACAACTGTATGTAAGTTTGCCAAAATTTGTCTTTAAAATTCCTCTTCTGAGTGTTTTTAAGTGTGTCACCTATTACAGCTGAACTGCTGCATTTATTCTCTACTTTTGGGAAACTTTGAAGATGCTTGAATATGATGAATGCATACTTATGTTATTATAACAGAGTCATCTGTCAGAAGTGTATTTACCAGTTCATTTGTCTAATTGCTCAAAAAGCTGCACACTTATTTGGATTATTAAATCTGCCTTCTCTCATACGCGTGTGGAATAGAATCAGGATCCAAATCAGGGCTTAGCTGATGAAAGACTGATTATGGTGCCATTACCCCTTTCCTGAGTCTCTCTTTCCTTACTGCAGCACAGGGAGGAAAGTCTGCTAGCCACAGACCTATCTCTCAAGATCCTCTCCTGGTGACTAGGAAAAGCCTAAGAGAAGGAAAAGCTCTTCCCTATGACTAGGAAAGCCATAGGTGACAAAGGAGGACAGTAGCAGAAACTGCTCCAGGAACTTTACACACACATGGGCTAAGATCTGGCTGAGGCATGTTCTTCACACGTGGGATTCTGAATCATTCCCCTTCTACACCCTTCTGTCACCTGGGATCCGAAGAAACTTTCAGATGTCTCGTCCCAGCTCCCCCTGGCACAGGAGCCAGGGTCTGTACCATCCCAACAATACTGAGTTTCTTCCTCCAGCTCTTTGCGTTTGTGCTGGGATATCTCCTCCCAGAAGGAAGGAGAATATGTGTGTGAGGGGTGTGGGGGGGAGAACTTTCAATAAAATTAATATGTACCTCTAAAAGGTTATCTCTTTTAGGTTCTTTTCAGCCCCGAACACTACTCTTACTCCTTGAGAGTATTTAATTGAAATGCGAGAGGGAAACTGCAACCCTGTGAGACCCTTTTCTACCACAGCTGGGTATACAGAGCCACTTGCTCATATGACATTGTCCAGCTACAGGAAAGGGATTCTGCATTTCTTATATCACAGACATACTCTACACAGATTCATCAAGACAGACACTAGTGTGTGGGAGCAGCAGGGCACATGCAGGTAGCAAAAGCAGTGACTGACTAGGGAAGGCCAGGCTCTGCAGGCAGTGTGAGAGCAGTGTGGCAGGGCCAGCAGCTGGAGGGACAGTGGCACCAACTGGTACAGTAGGAAGGGGTTTCTACCTCCCCGTTCTGCCCTGAACACTGTGGTACAGGGCAGGAAAGGATGACGAGCAACTTTACCTTCCTGAAACCTAGTCTTGATCTTTAGAGTTCACTTTCGGGTGCCTTCACAGGGTCTGTGCTGCTCTCTGTAGTGTTCCTGTCATCTTTATCCAAACTTTTGAATTACAGATTCAGTGATGACATCTGGGAGGACCAATGAAGAACTCAGGAGTGCTGAAAAGATAAAGCAGTGGAGATGAGAGGATAAACAGCAGTGATGAAGTGGCTAAAACACAAGCATTGTCTTCTCCAGCAACAGTGGGTGAACTAAAGAAGACAAAATCAACATTTTCTTCTCCAGAAGACAAATATTGAATTTACACCTACAGCCAGACCTGGGCAGAGGTCAACAACAAAGCTCTTTCCAACCTCTCCCTCCAGTGTAAGAGCGCTTTGGCTGTTATCAGCCAAATACCTTCTAAGGCCTCTAAACAGGGCCAAGGTATCTACTTCAACTGGCCAGGCCTCCACGTGGTCTCATCTTCTCCTCTGGTTTCAATTCTTTCATGGATTTTGTCCCTTCACAGACTTCTCCACTGGTCTTGGGCCTGTGGTCTCCCTCAGTTAGAGCTCTCCAAATTTCCACTCGAAAGAAAGAGCTATTGTCCAAACTTTCTAGTTTAACCTAAGTTGGTGCTCCTAAAACCTCAGCTTCTAAAGGGGAAGATGATTAGATGTTAATCTCAGCTTTCATTGAGAAAAAAAAGTGTTGTTATTTCCCTTTGGGTTTTGGAGAAAAGCTTGAGCATACCAAAGATAAAAATTACAGGCTCTAAATCAAGTAACCTACAATGTATTATTTCAAGATGCTATTTTTAAAGATGAAGACTTCACTTGTCTCATGACTTTTGACCAGAGACTTGGCTCAGGTTTTGAGTTTGCCTTCCATCACACAGGAAGGACAGCAGGGAGACCTCAGAGCAAAGGACCCCAAAATTCCCAGTGTCTTCCAATAGCCTGTCCTGACAAATGTGCCCCAACTCTCAACATTCCTGAAAGATCTACAGCAAAACTGCCATTTCCCCCCTCTTTCCATGCCCGTGCACACAATGACTGGGACAGACAAGACCAGCAGCGGGTCTGAAATCCTCCAGTAACCAACCTGGGCAACACCAGGATGTGACTTCATTGAGCATTTCCCTCTCTTTTAAAAAATGCAAACACAGAATCATGAGTTGGAAGGGACCCTAAAAATCATCTAGCCCCAACCCTCTCTGCCATGGGCTGGGGCACCTCTCACTTGATCAGGCTGCTCAAGGCCTTACCCAACCTGTCTTTGAACACTTCCAGGGCTGGGGCATCCACAACCTCCCCGGGCAACCTGTGCCAGGGTTGCCCAGGTTGCCCAGGGAACCCTTAGGAACACCTTACCTAAATGTCCCCTCTTTCAATTTGTACCCATTTCTCCTCGTCCAAATTGCACCAGGAAATCACCCGCTGCCAGAAAGTGCCCGGTCACCTGCCCCGGCTGTGACACGGCCGGCCGGTCCCACCGGGACACGTCGGGGCGGTGGGCGCCCCCCGCGCCTCCTGCCCGCCCACCTTCGCACCTCTCCCGCCCCAGGGCCGCCGGGCGGGAGGACACGCCGGGCACACGCCCGGGACCCCCGGAACCCCCTCGGGCACGACGCCCACGGCCCCCACAGGCGCCGGGGGACCCCGGGCGGGCGGGCGGCCACCCGGGCGCTGCCGGCGGGGCGTCCCTGTGCCCCTCGGGAGCCGCCCCGCCACCGCCCCCCGGCAGCCGTGGGGCCGTGCCCACCGCGGCCCCGGGCGGCGGAAGTGTGTGTAGGGGGCAGTGCAGGAATTTCCTGTGACGTCCCGGCCCGGACTCCATTAGGTGCAGCTGGGCTGAGAGGAGACAAACCCGGCGGGCAGCGAGCGGAGCGGGCCGGGCGCCTGGGGCTGCCGGGCGGGGGCTCAGGGCAGCGGCGGCCGCCATCGCCAGAGGGAGCCCCGAGCGGGCGGCGGCGCTGCCTCCGGGACCCCCGGCGGGCGCAGGGCCCCGCTCCGCCTCCCCTCGCCCCCGCCGCCTCCCCCTCCTCGCCCCCCCGGCTTCCCACCACGGCCGCTCTCGGCGAGGAAACTCTGGCCTCCGCTTCCTCCTCCTCCGACTCGGACACCGGCGGAGCCTCCCCGCCCCCGCGGAAGAAAGCCCGGGCCTCCCCGGCGGCGGCGGTGGAGGGAGCAGGAGAGCCCGGGGCGTCCGCGGGCAGAGCAGGCCTCACCTCGTCCCAGTCCCCCTCGCTGCCCGCCGGGCTCGCCCCCACCGCCGCCCCGCTCAGAGGCAGCAGCAGCAGCGGCGGCATCGCCAGCAGCGCCATGCAGGCCAACGGGGCGGGAGGGGGCCAGCAGCAGCAGCAGCCGCCGCCGCAGGGCCCGGAGCTGGGCTGCCTGGGCGCCCAGAACGGCGAGGCCTCGGCGGGCACGGCCGCCGGCGACCAGCTGGCCCACGCCAACGGGCTGCTGCCCTCGGCCAACAGCGGCGGCCCCGGCGGCGGCAGCCCCGGCGGGCTCGGCGTCAACAACGGGGTGCCCGCCGCCGGGGGGCCCGGCCCGGCCGCCGCCGAGCTGGGGGGGAGCGGCGGCGGCGGCAGCGCCCTGAAGAAGAAGAAGCGGCTCTCGCAGTCCGACGAGGACGTGATCCGGCTGATCGGGCAGCACCTGCACGGGCTGGGGCTCAAGTAAGTGGCCGCGGTGGGCGAGAGACAGCGCGGCCGGAGCGGCGGGGGGAAGGCTCCTTCCGTCCTTCCTTCCTTGGCCGGGGCGTCCCGACCGACCGAAGGGTCCCCCCGGGGCCGGGGGAGTCCCGCACACACGCCCCCCGTCCCCCCCAGTGTTCGCGGGGAGTGTCCGGCGCGGGGTCCCCGCGAAGGATGGGCTGCCCAGAGCGGGGAGCAGAGGCGAAGGGAAGGAAAAGGGACCTCCGGAGCGGGGATTGGTGGCCAGAGCTGCCCTGTCGCAGCTTGGTAGTCCCCAAAGAGGGGAGAGCAGTGCCCGGGTGTGAGGCAGAGCCGTGGGGCAGGCCCGCTCCTGGAAAAAATGGAGCCGGAGATGTGTTTTCCAAGCCTGGGCCGGTGTCTTTGCGAAGGGGCAGGACGGGAGCTTTCCCTGCCAGGAATGGCAATATGGAAGTCGAGTTGCACACCGATAAGGGTAGATCAATACAAATGTGTCAGTGGGGGAGAAGTTATCTGGTAAACATAATGGAGCCCGCAGCTGGGCGTGGGGGGGGCGGCTTTTCGCAGATGAGCTCCAAGATTTGGCTTGTCAGCTCGCAGGAAGCGAGCACAAAGTAAACTGCCACTTAAAGAGGCTGTTTGGTCTCACTCTGAAAACCTTTGGCCCTGTAAATGGTGAAGGCCTCTGTAGATTTGTGCTGGACACGTGTTCTTGGTAATAATCTCACTTGTAAACAACAAACGAATATGTTGGCCCTTTCTTAAAATCAGAATAGGGAAAATAATTTCCCACTGGAGTAAGGGAAGTCTTAAGTATTTAATCACAACACTCACTTTGTGAGTAGAACTAAAGCTAGCATATCATAATTTTGGAAGGAGGCTAGAAAAGTCCTGTAAAGTGTTTATGTAGCTACCACAAAAGAAGTCTTCAAAACGCTGTGGAATGGGTCTGCTATAAAGAACTTATCATGTAAAATAAATTGCCTCTGACACAAGAGGCAAGTTTACAGCAGCAGACAACTCGTGACTATTCATAGACGACACCACAGTAAATAAGCTATTTTTAGTATAAAAGGGGGAGGGCTACAGGTTCATGAGTTTGTTTATTTTTTTTTAAGGAGCCAGTCTTTTAAGATGTAAGGAAGAAACAAAAATCAGGCCTGTGACAGATGTTGTAGCTCTCTGTGTTCTTTTACGGGGGGGAGGCAGGGAGGGGGCCAGGGATAGCAGCCAATAGCTAACAGCTTTCTAGTCTGTATCTTCCTTCATGAAGTTTATCTTCTGTGCAGGGATGGCTGTGGTGGCTGGTAAGTCACAGACTTCATGGTACTTCAGCGAAGCTTTCAAGCTCATTGACAACTTGCTTTAGGTAGAGGTAGCTGTTTACCTGTCTCAGACAAATGAGATCCTCTTTCTGAACAAGCATCTGAATCTGGTCATAGTATTCTTGTTTTCTTAAATTGACTTTAAAATATAGTAAACTGTTATCATAGCAGGCGGTGTATTTGTGAGGGTAAAACTGGTCGGGTTTTTTTACACTGTATCTCTCCTGCAGCCAGACTGTTGATCTCCTCATGCAAGAGTCAGGATGTCGTTTAGAACATCCTTCTGCTACCAAATTCCGCAATCATGTCATGGAAGGAGAATGGGATAAGGTAACGTAGGGCTTATAGGACTGTATTAACCACTGTTTAAATTTATAGTATCTGTGAGAGAATTCAAAATCCACCCTCCTTATATACTTTTTTTTTTCTTATGCCAATTTCTGCAGGCTGAGAACGACCTGAATGAACTTAAGGCCTTAGTGCATTCTCCGCATGCAATTGTGGTAAGAGGCACACTTGAACTCTTTCAGAGCTGTGTAGTTGAACTAATTGTAGTGGTGTAATCTCTCACTATGGAGTTGGTTGTCCATAGTTCTTGTTTTCTTTTTTTGTTTACTTTAAGCTACTTGCATGCTATCTCAAACGTCATACTAATCTGAACTTTTTTTTATTCTGTTTTAGAATGTGAGATAGGCAGCCCTATCTCACATCTTTTAGCCCTAGGCTAAAATCTAGTGTACTAAATGTTTAAACTCTGTTAAACATACCTAACTGATAAAATATAAATCCTGTCACTGTCCTAAAATAGGTCAGTTTCCGTAGAAACTGCCTATGTTGAATACTAATTTGAATACTTGAAATACTTCTCACAATCTCTGTGTTTATAGGGGGTAAGTTTTCTTGAGGGAAGAGAAGTTTAGAAATAAAATGCAGTAATACTAATGTGGAGTTGGCTTTGTAATAGCACATTACAAGAATATAGAGGCTGCTATAGACCATGAACAATACTGTTGCTTTTCCAGATGGCTTTTAAAGAGCAAATGCATTTGTATTGCTGTTTGGGATTTTATTTACAGCTTTTTCTCTTTGGCTGGCTTTTTTTTTCCTTTTTTAAAAAAGATAAATCTAGAAATAGAAGGTTGGTAGATCCTGTGACTTAACAATTACGATATGTGTTGTTATGGTCTCAGTTGCTTTGAGTGAAGTGTTTCTTGTTTTGATTTTTGTATCTCAAGATGAAAATCATTACTTGGCTCTTCAAACAGCTTGTTCTGTTGTGTTTAAACGTTTATTTTAATGAAATGAAGTTAGAACAGCTAAGGTCACTTAGGAAGAAAACAGTGGCAAGTCTTTTTGAAGTGTCTGTGACTGTAAACAATGAGGAATCAGCTGATGGCTGCTTAGTTCCACTTCTAGCTGATTCATTTGTTGTCAAGACAATTTCCTGTCTGGTGGGGGAGGGAGAGAAAGAGAGAACAGGAAGTGAAGTAGGAAAACAGATGTTTAACAAAACATCAGAGAGTACTTGACAGAAGTTTGCCCTCTTTTCTATTAATTCGGTCAAAGCTTAGCACCTCATAATTAGACCAGTACTTTCTCTCTTCTCAGACTTGAAGTAGTTTAGAATATTGCATGCAGCTTTCAATTGTTTGTGCAGACTGAAGTTATGAAGCTGCTGTGTGTGAATATGAATGGTCATTTGGAACAGATTTTCTCATGTTTCTGACATGTGAAGCTATGAAGTTTATCTGTAGTATTAGTGTTTTGCCTGTCTGTGAGTTGAGATTTAACTGAGTATCAGCACTGTACTTTTTGGATAACTGAATCTGAGGAAAAAGGATATGTTTTCCTTCTGTTGTTCTGGAGGGCTCTGAAAGTGTGCTCTTCTTTCATGTTGATGTCTAACTGCTTCCAGAAAACTTGATGCAATAAAAATACTTGGTTTAAACTGAACTTTACCTGAACTAAATATTAACTGTTTTTTTTTTTTAAAGTTGTTCTCCTTTATATAAACTTCATATAATTTAAAACAGATAACAGTTTTAAATATCTTACGTGTGTGTGTGTTAGTAAGACAGCATGACTTGCAAGGTTAAGTTGAGCTCGTGCACATTCCATTGTGTGCACTCTGTCTCTGCCTCCCTCCCTGTCCAGCTTTTTTGTGCATGGTTGAGGTTGGGGTGGGGATTAGTGTAATCAGCAGCTGGAAGACTAATGGAAGACCCTCAGGTTAAGGTAAGGAGGGATGCTTTGTGCTGTGTAGGTAATCCAAGTGCAGTCAAGTCAGAGCTAATGAAGGTGATAAATGTGTTGATCAGGGAAAGTCCAAGCAAGATGCTGCTGCAGGTAACTCTAAAATAGAAA